AGTAGAAGGATCACAAGGAGGTGTGTCAATATTATTTCTTTATTGTTTGCACTATTATTCTTATCTAATAGCAGTGAAAAAGGAAAAAGATAAAAAAACGTGCGCATGTACTTCCGGGAGTACGCCCCTGTGTTAAACTAATACTTTCTATAATGATCGACCAGTTGCTTGAAGGTGTAGATAAGGGTGAACCCACTTGGGAGGACATGGGCGGAGGTAAGCAATCTTTGTGTCAACCTCATTGGTGCGTCCTGTCTTGAGAAGAACGGAAGTACGCGCCACATTGGTTACCTGTTTACGGCTTGACTGCGCGAGCTGCGTCTTCTGGTCGGAACTTACCTCTCCTTATGTGCGAACGGGACATTTGATGGCTGTAACGATGACTACAGCTCGTACCTACCGAACCATAAGATACTGTAATATAATATAACATTTTTTCGAAATTTTCAACCATTTCTCAGTCATTTTTCCAGGTCTAATTATTTTCTGCATTGTGATGGGTATCGTGATTTCTCGATTGGGTAAACAGGCACGGCCATTAGCAAAGTTCTTCATGGCACTGGATGCCGTTATCACTAGAATGGTATTGCTCATCATGTGGTAAGCGATTTAGTAAAGTGAACGGCATTGTTCAAAGCAGCTTGGTGTTTGAGGTTTGGTCCTATTGGTATTCCATCGCTGATCGCATGCAAAATGCTCGAGGTGTACGATCTCATGGCGACTGCTCACACTTTGGCTATGTTCATACTGACTGTTGTTATAGGTAAACACATACCTTGATGCTGCCGTTCAAAAAAAAGCAAAAAGTCAAAGTTTAGGATTGATCCGAGCGGATCAATTCATGTATAGCGCGCTACGCATTTATCCAGTTCACATTGAAAATCATGGAAGCATTGGACCATAGCATAGAGAACCCAAATTAATGTTAATACTGTTTAGGGCTTGCCATCCAGTGCTTCATCACGCTGCCACTAATCTACTTCATCGGTACACGTCAGAACCCTTACGTATTTCTACGTGGCCTAGGTCAAGCTATTCTCACCGCTCTTGGAACTTCTTCAAGGTCAGTGAAGCAGATTTTCTCCCCTAGATTTAGGTTAGATTTCTTTTAGGTTTAGATTTTCAACTTCTTTCTCCTGCAGAATCAGTCAAGAAAGGCTTGACTTGGACGTGCACGTGATGACCAAGTGGATCTTCAAAATTATAGACTACCCCATGATTTCAGTGCAGCATCATTGCCCGTGACGTTCCGCTGTCTGAATGAACTGGGAGTCGACAGCCGTGTGACGAAATTTGTACTACCTGTGGGAGCGATGGTTAATATGGTATGTATAGAGATTGTGAATCGATGATTTAATATCCCTTAATCCGCTAACGTGGTGTCTATCTTGTGTGTGGTGTCACGAAATTCATAACACCATGTCCAATGGCAGAGATAAGAAGAAGAAACTGTCACGATTCCCAGGAAGTGATGGAGGGGATTCGTGAAGGGAACACCATTGAGTGGTGGTGAGAGGATTTGATATCAGTTGATATGATTCGCGTAAGAGACGTCCAAAGGGGATGGTCACAAAGTCCATAGTGTGGGCCACAGCAGCAGTGGGACGTTGGTTCTGACAAGCAGTGAAATAAGGGGTGGAACGAAAACATTATTGGTAGGTGACAGGATGTGATATCAAGTGATTAGATCTGATAACGCGCATTTAAAACGGGAAAAGGACTACAAACTCATAGTGCGGCTCACAGGAAAACATTGGGCCCTTGGTTCCGAGAGGTGATACAGAGTGTGGGACGGGAACATTATTGGCAAGTGACAGAAAGTGATAACAGCTGATAAGATAGGATAAGAATAAGCGGCCCTCGGAGGGTGGCGTCCATTCAAATTCGGTAACGCAGCTTTACAGCAACAGACCTCGGGTTAGAGAGGCGATGTATGGCGGGTGATATAATTAATAGTAATTACGGGAGGAATTTATTTGGCAGCTCTAGGGGTCGGAAGTGGGGTAGGGAGCCTTAAAAGTGACAAGCGGTAACATTTTGAAAAATCGCTTCACACTTCTCCCGCCCCAGAACAATGCGATCGATATGACTCAAGTATAACGATCTCAATGATTCCAACAGAACTCATTCCTCACTGCTTATTAGTAACGACATCATGTACGACCGCTAAGCTAGCTCTATTCCAAATGCATGGGGTTTGTTTACAGAGATGTTATGAGCACAAAACGTTAAAACTTGACATTACTACCCTTACCACAAGTTTATTTTCCATCAACAACCTCAGTTGAGGGCCATTTTCAAGAGTTCTCCACTGCTGGAATGCGGGGCGAGTTTACATTCCAGGGCATAGACGCGTTGGTAGGAGGACAGAATGCATCCTACTACTATATAATCCGCGAAGTATATCTGTCCGTGTGTGTTTGGGTGTTCCTGTGGCGCGTCTGTCTCGCTTCTGTCACGAAATCATAGACGCCGGTCTCCCAGTAATTTGTAGGAAGTTTGATCTCCAAGTAGTGATATTAAAGGACCTGCGACGGAACATTTATCGATGGTGAGGTGACAGGGAGTATATCAGCCGATAAAATCTGAATTAAGCAGGCCGTGGCAGAAAGGGGAGGCACCGAGTCATAGCGGCGGTCACAGCACAGTGACGTTGCTTTTCAAGGTATGATATAGGGTGTGGGACATGATTGTCATTGGTGGGTGACAAGAAGGGCTAGCAGCTGATAAGATTCGATAATGGGACTTAGAATGGTAAGGTCACCATACCCATAAGCACAGCACAGCACCAGCTAGGCGTTGATTTCAGAAAATGATATAGAGTGGGAGCTGGGGAACATCGGCGGCAGATGACAGAGGGTTCAGTCGAAGTGCTGGAACGCTTTTACACTACCAAATTATAGAGTTTTAGTGATAGGGACATTGATGACGGGTGACAGGCAATCTTATCAATTGATAAGAAAGGATAAGGGGCCATTCTCAATACATCTCTTATCACTATACTGCCAAGTATTGAAGACTCAGTGTGCAAACGTTTCCTTTAGCCATCACTTCTTTCAGCAACTAGCTAAAAATGAACTCTCCACTATTCTATTATATAACGCAATGTCGCGAGGGCGGAGGGAGTCATGTTAGTTCGACAGCTGAAACAGGAACTCAATGGGAAATTCAAGAAGAGATAAAACTTGAACAATGTGGCGATTGATGCATGCGTATAATAGCTCTTTTTACTATGAGAACATTAACAAAGGCCGACTACAAATTGTATCTATATCTACAGATCTCTGTATTGTACGGGCGTTATGGCGCTGACCACACCTGCAAATAGAAGCGTGTGAGTAGAATCATACGCCTTGCTCTATCTGCTGCGATTCAATCACTACAGCGCCGTATGAGCGGCTCACCATTGAAAACGTCCCGGAGCGCGCCTGTCGAAGCCAGGCCAGCTCGCGAAGCCGAGCTAAAGAGAAGGAGGAAAGCTCGGCGACAGCTATCCGACTGGTAGATGATGATCGAGTAGGAGTGAAGCATTGGGGGGATGTGATCACTGCCAGGGACAAATGGAATTGAGCAACGCTATTTTACGAGCAGTGTGCCTTCCTTTGCTTAATGGTAACACTAACGACGCCCACGGCCAAGTATAATGAGAAGTGGGCATTCAATGTAAATCAGCAGACAAAAGTGAATTCTTGTAGAGGAAGAAGAAAACGTTCGTTGAGTACACATCTAAATGAAACTCCTCCATGACAGACACACAGCCTCATTCTGCGAGTGCTCCCAGCTTACAGGCGACTCGACACACTGCGGCCTCTGTACAAGCCCTATGTAGCTACTAAATTGTTTCTCATCCTCCAGTAATATTATATATGCCATTTAAGAGTGCTCGCGCTACTCAAAGTTTTCACTGGCGCAATTGTTATTCAGTGCACTTCACCTTTTACTCGAATTCCGTAAGGGGCTCTCACGTACTGTTTTCTGTGACAAGCTTCCTTTCATTGCTTTCATTTCGTTTACAGTTTTTTTTCTTCGCTAGGATTTTTTTATGTACACTCACAACCGAAGATGGGCCTTTAAATGTGCGAGGTGTATGGGTCCGCAGCTGCATTAATGTCCCAATTTCTTCACTCAAGAGAGAGATAGGCAAGGGCTAATGATACCCAGGTGCTCCGCCCGCGCCCTCTACAAGGTGCAGAATTTATTCGACTTACCAACTTACCAACATTTCGCAGCGATCACCCAGCGAGGCGGAGAGCAACTAGAAGTGAGTTGGCGCAGACAAGTAGCGCGGGCTAGTTGGCTAGGGTTATGGCATGTGGCTGACCGTGTGGCAGCGCTGGCAGACGGCACTCAGATATCACACTACCCCAGCTTCTTCCACGATTGGCCGTAATCTTCATTGATAGCTGTGTGATATTAGGTTATTGCATAAGTTTTTTCCCGACTTTTTTGTAAATATCTCAATAGCGAACCAGCCTGAAGATTAGAGGTATGCACCATCACCATCCACTACTCGACGCCAACGCTCAGGCAGCTTGTCGATTCCATCGTCCCAGAAGGACGGGGCTGGGAAAGAAGGCCACAATGCCGCACAATCACCACTGTGACATGGTTTTGCACTGGTAATTGTGCGGCATTGTAGCCTGCAAATGCAGGGTGGGTGAGTGATAGCTAGTGTGGTGAAAGAGTATCATGTACACGTCATGCACACGTGATGACGAAATACCAACATCCATGCAAACGAAATACGGAAGGATCAAAACAGGGAGAAAAACTTATGCAACAACCTAATACAAAAAAGCGTGTATGCTTGTTGATCTCAAAGTCGTTCCTTGCTATGCGGAAATGACAAGATTGATAAATTGTTGGCAATAGGAAAGACAGGAGCCGAGAGAGATACAAACGAGTACTTTTTTACACGGAACTCGTCAACGGAAAACTGTAAATAGGATGCTTCATTCACTAGAACTGTGCTTGAGCTTTGATCGTTTGGTAAACGGTTTGTCAACTGGAACCATTCATACAGATTGAAACCAGATCGAATCGAGCGAGGGACAAAACTTTTGGTGATTCTGTGATGATTTTATCTGATTTTCTTTCGGTGAATGTTTAAGGATGGGACTGCTCTTTACGAAGCTACCGCATCGATATTTATCGCCCAATTGAATGGAATGGAATTGTCGTTAGGACAGGTTTTGACCGTTAGGTAAACTACTTCTGAAACCGCTCATGGTTCGAGTTTTCTTTTCGAACAAATTATCTAGTATCACCGCAACACTAGCGTCTATCGGAGCCGCATCCATTCCCAGCGCTGGACTGGTCACTATGATGATCGTTTTGACTGCCCTCGGCCTTCCTGTCAACGACATTTCCTTAATCATCGCTATCGACTGGTTCCTGTAAGTTAATTTGTGGTCTTCCGCTGCTGTTTTTAACCGACTTTTTGTATGTGTTTATGTTATACCGCTGCTGGTACCATAGGAAACTATTGTACGAACCAACATCCCATTTCATTCATATTAAGTTACTCACTATTTTGAGGGATAAAATTATGTAAGCACAAGTCATTTAGCGTAGACCCATTTCTTAAGGAACTAGAGAACGGTCAGAAGTCTTACTTGTGGTTTTTGCGCTGAATATCAGCGGGCGCCGGAGTACCGTGCTCGACACTGTTGTTCTACCTTGAGACATTCATAACGTAGATGGTTTATCTACTCAGCGAAATTCGTTCAGGAGCGTTCCGACTGTTAACCAGGCTAAGAAAATCAAACGCTGTTTCCGAACACTACCGACTATCCAAACCGCAAAATGAGGCGATAACACAAGTGATAAAAATAAAAAAGAATAAGGGACAACATATTGAGAGCGATACGGACAAACCTTCAACCCCGTGTGCAGTGTCCTATTTCAGCCAAAAATTTCCTGATGCACCTTCTGAGACCTTTTGGCAAGTCAGCTCAGCTCCAGGATTTCAGTCACACACTCGCGTGTAAACTGCGCCCCATAATGATTGACATCATGTGCGAATCAGAACTTTTCTCTCTTAGACGAGTTCCCCATACCATTCAGTGAGGTTCTGATAGCGGGAGCGGGAACACTTGCCAATATCTCAGTTATTGAGAGAAAAAAAAGAAGGGAAACTCAGGAATAGTCTCTCACAGGAGTGTGATTAAGTGACCGCCTGCGAACATCTGTCAACGTTATTGGAGACGCCTTTGGATGTGGATTTGTGTACGAACTTAGCAAAAATGATCTCGACGAGCTAACAAGAAAAGAGAGTGTTACAGATGGTAAACCGCACCACATCATTCTTCACGTAAGTATTTGCACATCATCTATCTTTACGAGATCCTAGGAAAGCTTACAGCGTCGTAGGAAGGTCTCCATAATAATTAATCCTCGATAGCAACTTTCCCGAGCCGAGAAAGCGAGAAAGTTTCCGGAATGTTGACTTCCACAAGTTTCCCTCGTTTGATGTTCCCTTTTCCCCCCTCCCTCCTCTCGTAGCCGTACTGACACATCATTTTGCATATAACGACGCTGTATCCTGCCTGGGATTATCTTGTTTTCCTAACAGTGCAGTGAAGTGAACTGTCTCACTGCGACAATTCATTGCCATTCTATGATTGTTAACTTTGGTTTCCAGGGGAACGACATAAAAGAAATTGGAGATACCTTGCCCAACGGTAATACCAACAATGCTGAACCTAATGTCTGAGAAAACCTCTCAAAGCACTGGCATCAGTCACACCGTTTTACAGAGTAGAGAGGCATAGAGTTCATTGCGATGTTTGAGCAGTAACTTTCACGCGAAATAATTTCAGATTCTAGCTGTACTTTAGATTGTATTCGTTTAGACAGAAGGGTAGTTTTGTACTCGATTGCCCCATTGTTACGGCCACGATGTTTCTCAGTTAATATAAGGGCGATGGTAATTAGTGTATAGCTTCAAAGAATGTGCCGTTACATTAGAGTTTTATTAAGAAAACGGAGGATGACCATTTAGCACTTGGATTGTGGACACCTATCACGTCCATTCATGAGCTAATATGATATCAAATTGTTATTTAGCCCTTTAGTCTCAGGATAACGGTTTTAGTCTTTCTTTCTCGTTCATGTTATATTCAATTGTACAGTGTGCAGCCAAGAAATCCATTTTCTCACTAGCATTCCATGTGGATTTTTACAAGCAGATACGTTTTTGCACCATATGTACAAGACTGTGCAAACTTATAGAAACTAAAGTAGTATCGATATCTCCTTTTTCCATGTAGCTTCCTGCATCAAAGGAACACTTTATACTCACAAATATGCAGAATTGTATAATTCAAGAACGACTGTTCTGTTTGACACAGGAGAACCTCTTCATTCGCATCATGTTGTTCATTCCAAAGTTCTTGTTACATTCGCAAATGTTCCTAATAAAGTAATAAAATTTTAATGGGAGCATTGTCTCAGGAGTAGAAGGAATTTCTCAGGTCGTAGAAGTAAACACAAACTATCACGTATTAAATTCAAAAACGAATAAAATGCAAGGAGGTAGAGCACCTTCACTACCAGAAGGTTGCATTAGCACACACGGCACTCCTACTTTTGGCTGTATTACCTATGCTTTGCTGACGACATCGTTTTGATAACACCAAACATCGAGCAAGCGGAACGAATGCTGGCTGAATTCGACTGCGCGTGTGGAAAATCGGTCTACGGCTGAATCTAACGAAGACGATGTTCATGAGAAACGGATTGGTATCTGATGCCCCATTCACGCTCAACGGAACGACCATCTCTGAATGCTCTAGCTATGTGTACCTAGGTCGTGAAATCAATATGATGAATGACTTAGCTCCAGAGCTGAGCAGGAGGAAGCGAGCGGCTTGGGGAGCCTTCAAGAACATCGAGGGAGTAGCAAAGAAGGCAAAGAACCAAGTTCCGCGCCCACCTCTTCGATTGGTCGG